AAGGCAAGGGGGGAACAAGTGACATAATATGTGCCATGATGTCATTGCAGAGTTGACATGAATGTTGGTTTGATTCTGGATTATAAAGCAAGAAATATATAAATATGACACAAATAATGTATACAGTGTCAATAGATAAAATCCATGTGGTCACTAGGCCATCAAAACGATTTGATAGCATCTGATATATTATGTAACAATTGTGTGAACATATGAAGCACATGGTGTCATTATGGCTCCTAAGGCATATTATGTATAGTGGTAATTGTTCTTTGGAAACCTTTTATACAAGTTTAGTGGCTTAATGATGTATGGTATCTATATTTGTTGGAAGAAATATCCTTCTGGGTTCAGTTCCAAGTGGGAAAAAATACACTGGAAACATGGAGGTTGTTTGGAAGGTTTAGTGGTAGACAGAAACACATGGCCTGGAGCTCCAGAGTGAAAAGGAAGGATGATCACATGCTCCAAGGTGAAGGAAGAGATCAAGAAAGGGCTGAGATGTTGAGAGTGCCTGGGTTTTATAACCTTTGTTGGGATTTGAATTGGAGCTTGTATTCTGATTAGTTGTCAGACTCCCATGAGGCCATGCAGGGGCAACTCTGTAGGCTGTCCTGAGTTCCAGGCTTGGTTGAACCTTGCTGGATGATGATGCACTGAAAAGGGCTTTTGGCAATTGCTATAGCTTTACCTGGAGATCTTTGTTATGTAAAGTATTCTGACCCAGGCCTTAAAGGCCCACCCATTAACAAAGGTCGGGGTGAGCTTCTACTTCTGAGGTGAGTTTCTGCTTCTGAGTTTCTACTCTTTTTAGAGGAAATATTCTGCCTTTTTAATATTTCCCAGGATATTTCATTTTTCTAGAAGAGGGGTGGGTGTTAGCTTCCTACATATTCTATAATGTCTATATATTTATATATACTATATACTGATCCCATATATGTCTATATATTTATATATACTATATACTGATCCAGAGCATGAAGATATGGGATCTGTCTGAAATTGTTTAAAGCAGCCCATGTCACTAAAGCTGTATCCACAGTGTGCTCATCTCATATTAAATGAATATGACCGCATTGTTTTTTCCAAACCACAGGAAGGGCCCTTAGACAAATCAAAAGAAGAATACAGTTTTCAGATTCTGTTTTGAGGTTTCAAAGTTTTACTCTAACAAAAAAGCTATTATCTCATAATACATTCTCCAACAGTCTAAGATTCCATTTTGTAAAATTACTAGGGAGACTAAAGGCCAATCTTCCCCTCCTGAAAGTGAGACGACTGATTTCTTATTTTACTAGATTCTGTCTGCTCCCTTCTTTCAGGCTAATTTCTTCTGAGAAGAATGATTGGGGTGGCTTCTTTAAGTAGAGCAAATCGATACTTGCTCTTGCTGGAGAGGCAATGAATGCTGATGAGGAATCAGTAAAAATTACCAGGTTGAAATAGGATGAGATTTGAAACAAAAACAAAAACAAAACTAGATTAGAATAATCTTAATTAATATGATGGAGTAACAGTGTGTTATACTGACTTTAAAGATTTAGGATGAAATGTTTAATCCTGAAAGACATGAAATGATGAACGTGTTTGTTGTAATGTGATTAAAAATATTGAATGCAAATACTTTGATTCTATGGCCATTTACCTCGATTCAGGTTTGTCCTCTCATCTTCTGACATATTTTGTTGTCGTTTCCTGGGAAGATGGATCAGCTCTGATGCTGTCCAACTGGTTATTGCAATTCAGATTATTGATTCATTTTGATTCAGATACGTTGATCAATTCAGAAAATTCAGTTGAATCAATTTATCCAATTTTCTTTAGGGAGATATAGTTAGATATTTAAAGGCTCTACTCATATATAAAATAATTGAAGTGGTTTGACTTTCTAATTCAACTTTGAGATACCATCAAATGACCTTCTGATTGCATATCAAAATTTAAACTATTTATTTACTTTTTTAAAAAAAAAAAAAAAACCCAAACACATCAAACAAGCCCTGAATACATCATAAGACAATCTTAACTAATTGGAAGTCAGAGATGACAGTGGAAAGGGTGAAAAGAGATAAAATGTGTGAAAGTGTATAAATAGTTGCTGCATTTGTACCGATAAAGAAATCCTCAGCTTTCAAAGTGACTTTAGCTTTTAATGGGCATTTTCTTTCCAAGTCCTATTTTGCATATATATCTTTTGGGATTATAGTGTTGATTACTTTCAGGAACATTTCACAAGTGTATCCCCTTGTCATTTCTAGCTTACAAAATAAATCTAAACAAATAAATACATAGCACATTTTCCTTCCTCCCTTCCTTCCTTCCTTCCTTCCTTCCTTCCTTCCTTCCTTCCTTCCTTCCTTCCTTCTTTCCTTCCTTCCTTCCTTCCTTCCTTCCTTCCTTCCTTCCTTCCTTCCTCCTTCCTTCCTTCCTTCCTTCCTCCTTCCTTCCTCTTTTAAACATACACACATCACTCTGTTTTATTTATTTTTTAAAGATTTTTTTAATCCCACCTTTATTATTTTTATAATTAACTCAAGGTGGTAAACATACCTAATACTACTTCATCCCTCCCCAGCTTCTCAACAATAACACTGTGAGGTGAGTTGGGTGAGAGAGAGTGACTGGTCCAAAGATCCCCAGTGTGGGTTTCATGCCTAAAGTGGGACTAGATCTCCCAGTCTCCCAGTTTTCAGCCTGATGACTTAACCACTATTTATAATCAACACCAGGTTCTTAATCTCAACATAGCTTTACAAAGCTTCATCAAATATTGATCTTAATTTGACTTAGCATAGTGTTACATAGTGTTTTATACATTATTATGACTTTTATTTCTATTTTAGTGCAGTTGTGTGCTATTGCCGGTAGTTCTTTTTCTACTTAGTTCTATTATGTCTACAATAGAAATAAAATTGATTGATTGAAGTACATCAATTCTTTGTATACGTGTATCATAATGACAGTAAGGAATGGTATAAGATATCAAGCTATGCGGTGTGCTACTTAGCTACTTTGTTTGCCAGCATGTTTCAAACATCATAGAATAAGAAGGTGAGGAATTTAGAACTTAAAGACATGACAAAACACTCCCAGGCAGCAACTGTTACTCTTCTATTTACTAAATCAAGAGTTTGCCGGCAGTCTGCATGATTTATAAAGTTCTTAAGTCTTTCTCACTGCTAGTAGAAGATACAAACATTGCATTGCCCATTATGTTTCAATTCATAAACTCCAAGGACTAAGGCTGAATAAAAAGAGCTGGCCAGATAAGACAAAGACAAGTAATATTTTAGTTCAAAATGAATATCCCAAACCTGACGTGCAACCAGGGGACTGATGAATTTGTTTATTCAGAATTTCTCTTTTGGAAAGGTAAGCAGCAAGATATTTTTTGTGGATAGTTTTTTGAGGAGGAGGTGAAGGAGCTTCAAAATAAAATAACTTAAGCTTCATTTATGAAAAAAAAACTTCTCAGCATTTACATCATGCAGATATTTATTTAGTAATTCAATTTAATGTATTTATTTATATATATATAAATATATATATAAAGACATTATCCGCTTTCCCTCCAGGCGACTTACAGCAACCCATTGAAACAGCCATAAGAAGAGTTATTAAAAGATAAAACAAATTACAGCAATAAAAAAAATAAAGCAGTTGTAAGGGGAAAAAAAACTTAGTTAAATAAGTTGGTTGCTTCAGCTCACAGCAAGATGTTATTTCCCAGCACGGCCTCATCAAGGGGAGAAAAATTATTGTTAATAAATGTATCTGTATTCGAACACTCAAAAGAAATCCTTTCCGTGTGAGTGCAGAGAAGGTTATACATCAGTAAATATTCCTTTGGGGAATGTTTGGACCTATGCTTACATTTAAAATAACATTTAAATTAAGTGAAGAATAGTATTTTAAATCCCTAGTTCCATTCCCCAATGTTTGAGTTCAGATTTCTCCCTTTTGTGAGAATAAATACATCATCTTTAGTAAGGCTGTCAAATCTGGGGACTGAAGGTGGCAGAGACAGGCTAAAAATAAATAAATAAACCGTATTTAAGTGAAACGATTGTTACAACTAGGTTACATGCATTAAGTGCTAGAATTCCCCATGTAAATAATTTCCTCTCCTTTTTCAGATTAAAAAAAAACAACAACTAGAATTTGGTATGACCATGGCTACGCAGTTTAGATTTCACAGAAGGTAGATGAGATGTAAACCTTGATGTTACTTCTGCAATTAATTAATTGCTTTCACAGACATTAAAGGGTCTCGGCTTATTAAAAGCTAGCATGTCAGGGCACAGCTGGGTTAGAATCTCTTTGGGTTAGATAAAGGCAACTCTGTCGTTTTCATTTTTCCATGTTTCAAGCATATCTTTATCCAAAGTTGGTTAGACAAAAAGCTGAAAGATAAATTGAGCTGTAAAGCAAAACCATCCATTTGCTGATATTTCTGTAACCTTTCTCTATTCCTCTGATTACAACTCATTAAAGGACAATGGGAAAATAGGATTTTTAGTTATCTATGGCCATTTTACAGGTGTGGTAGGAATGATTCTATTCCATCATTTCTTTGATATTAGTGTAACCCTAGTCCCACAGCAAGTTGTCCCATGATAAGTTGGCTATGGTGAGATGTCCCATGGCAAGTCAGCCGTAGCAAGTGGGCCATGGCAAGTTGGCTATGGTGATTTCTCCACGACGAATGGTCATAGATCCAACCTGGAGATAGCACAATCCTTAAGACCAGAAGTTGTGGGTCCTCCATTACAGTCAGTTTTTAAGAAGAAATTGGAAAGCAATGTGTCCCGAATAGTATAGGGCCGTGATGACAAACCTACGGCACGCGTGCCACAGGTGGCACGCAGAGCCATTTGTGCCGGCATGTGAGCTGCAGGCAAACTTACATCACTGTGCATGTGGGTGCCTCACAGATGATTTTCGGCTGGTTTGAGGCCTTTTTTGGCCTCCCAAAGACTCGAGGAAGGCTTCTGCAGACTTCTACAAGCTTTGTAGGCCGAAATCTAGCCCCGTTTCATCACTTCCAGGTTTTTTGGAAAAATGGGGCTAGATTTTGGCCAACAAAGCTTGTAGAAGACTGTAGAATCCTTCCTCAAGCCTTTGGGAAGCTGAAAAAGGCCTCAAACCAGCTGAAAATAAGCTGCAAGGCGCAGTGCAGGTAGGGGGACAGTGGGGGGGTGGCTGGCTGGGGGGATTGCATGTGCATGTGTAGGGAATGTGGGAGGGCATTGCCTTCTGGGTGCTGGCACATGAATGCGGGTGTGCAAGTGTGCGCACAATTTTTGGCACAGGAGCCCAAAAAGGTTAGCCACCACTGATATAGGGTCTTCTGTTTGAGCAGTGCATTGGATTAGAAGACATCCAAGGTCTCTTCCAACTCTGTTATTACGTAGCTATCTTGCTGATTTTGACCTCAACTGTAGATGCCAGCAAGTCAGCTGTCAAGAGTTCAACATGTTACCTGAATTGTTTTCATCCCAAGTACTCATTACTAGTGTTTGGATTTGCTTGTTTCTTATTTCTCTACCATTCACACTTAGCTTGTAAGTCAGAAAGCAGAAAGGGGAGAGATTATAGCAGTCTTCCAATATTTGAGGGGCTGCTACAGATAGAAAGGGGTCAAGCTACTTTCCAAGGCACCCAAAGGCCAGACAAGGAATAATGGATGGAAACTGACCAAGGAGAGATTCAACCTGGAAATAAGGAGAAACTTTCTGACAGTAAGAACAATCAACTAATGGAACAGCTTGCCTTTGGAAGTTGTGGGAGCTTCATCCCTGGAGGCTTTCAAGAAGAGATTGGACTGCCATTTGTCAGAAATGGTGTAGGGTCTCTTGCTTGAGTGGGAAGACCTTCAAGGTCCCTTCCAACTCCATTAATCTATAATCTATCTCAGATCTGCAAGCTGCTGTTAAGCTGCTAATAAGGATCTTAAAATAAATCTAAACATAATAGATTCCTAAGCAGGTTTATTCAGTAGTAAGTCCCAATGGGTTCCTTTCACCTAATTTCTAGAAAGCATGCTTATTGTTGTCATCAGATATTCCTAGGACATTGAGAGTGGCTCTCTTCCATACCAAAGTTTTATAGCTTTTATTTGGGTCAACTGAGAAGGCCTTGACAACATTAGTTTCAAATGGGCATTTAATCATAGCTGTTCTGCATTCTTGAATGAAGAATAAAAGCCCTTTAAAAATGGTTTCAGGAGTCAATAAAATTTCCACACTCTGGAAATTTTAAATGCTGTTTGCAATAATACAGTAAACATTTAAACATTTCACTTGCCTTCCAAGCAGTCTGGATAAACACTGAGACTTTAATAATCGAGAGGCCACCAACCAAGATGAATACTCCATGGTTTTTTTCTGATCAGCCCATGTGTTCTTCATCATTCGAATTTTAATAATCATATATTTACACTGCAATTACAGTGGTCTGATAAGAAAAGAATAACAAAAAGAGGGATATGCAAAGAGTAAATACTATGCAGAGAACAAATTATTCACCCAGGGGGTGACTAATTCAGTTCCTAGTGCATCGTGACCTCAGTGAAGAAATGATGGGGATTTAATTCTGACAAATGGCTGCAGAAAACTAACTTGGATAATGGTCTAAAAGCATAGGGTAATTTTAATGCTGGCTTTTTCTGCAACAGATAATGTCCAAAGCAAACCGAATCATGTTAATTCTGAAAGCATTCAACTGTCTGCCTGTGAAGTCTTCATAGCAGCCTGTAAAGCCCCGAACAACTATTAAGCAAATATCATTTTTTTTAAAAAGGTTTCACTCAAATCATAGACTGAGATCACAAAGGAAGTCCAGCATACAGTTCTATCTGTCCCTATCTCTCATCATGTACACTATTCAGGGAAGAGGGACTATTACAGCTAGTCCTTGGCTTACAACAGTTCATTCAGGGACCATTCAAAGTTACAATGGCACTGAAAAAAGTGACAGTTCTTCATCCGTACAACTTTTGCAGCATCTCCTTGGTCACGTGATCAAATTTCGGATGCTAGTCAATTGCCATGTATTTGTGACAGTTTGCACTGTCCCGGGGTCATATGATTGCAACTTTCTGACCAGCAATGTCCACAGGGAAGCCAGATTCACTTAACAACCAGGTTACCCACTGAACAACTGCAGTGATTCACCTAACAACTGTGGCAAGAAAAGTCATAAAATGGGACAAAATTCACTTCATGAATGTTGCGCTTGGCATCAGAAATGTTGGGGGGTCAATTGTCCTAAGTCGGGGGACTAGCTGTGCATATTATTAGTTGGGCAGAAAGGATTTTTTTTTTTTCAAAATTCCTTTCAAAAATCTTTCTTTGATGGGATTTCCGGTCTGCAGCGCTTCGGAGCAGGCAGGAATCCACGACTGTGTGCGGTTTCTGCCTGTGTTCACTGCCCGAGTGCCCCGAGCCATTTGGCTTCGGGGCTAAGCCACCTCTGTAGAAGGTGGCGAAGACAGGGGGGTCTGGCAGGATCAAGAGACATCTCACCTCTCTTCCCTAGCCGGCTAAACCCCCTTTTCCAAAGGCATCTGAGCGGCGGTCAGCAATGGCCACCACATAGAAGAGCTCAGCCGGAAAAAGAAAGTGCAGGAGGAGCTGTCAAGAAATGAAAGTGATCTTTGCTGACCAGGACAAAGTAACAGTGAAAGTACCCTGGAATTTAAAGCTTATTAAAGATACATTGTTTCCAGAATGTGTCAAGCGGTGAATGGAAATTAAAGGATTGTCTTTTCACTCTCCTTCCGAACGTGACAGCGATAGAACTTTAAGAGAAATCGGAAAACTCGCATTGGAGGTATGGATTTCTGAATATTTAAAGGAAAATCTTTTTGCTGTAAGTGGGAAGGGAGAGGAAAAAAAATTGGAGCAAAATTTTAAAAAGGAGGAGACTGCCTAGAATTTTAAAGAGCTATTGAATATTAATAAGACTTCTAAAAGATATATCTTAATTGGAACTTTTTGATCAAACAGCAACCCCAGAAAGAGAAATGGAAGAAAGAAAAAAGTATTAAAAGAAATAGCTTATTTGGATTGTTTGGTGACTTTGGAACTCTTGGGAATTATTTTTGATCAAAAGCACTCGGGTGGTTGTTTTGGAAAAAAATTCTTTCTCTTTACAATGGCATCGCTTGTGGATGAATTAAAAACTGAATATCAAAAATATAAAAAAGAAGAACAAGATGGGAAAGATACTTTGGGCACTCTTTTTCAATTTTTAGAAATGGCGGTATGTACCTATGAAAAATTGACTGCGCAGCAGGACGACTGGGATAACGAAGAAGCCATCTTTGATGAACAAATGATCTTATTTGGGGAGGAGGAGAAAGAGGAAAAGAAAAAGGGGATTTTAAGGCTTGAAAAAACAACCAAAAAAGAGAAAAATGAGGTGAAAGGTGGATACAAGGTTAGAAAACAACAGGAAGGGGGAAAGCAGAAGAAGAAAAGGGAGGAGGAGAGACAAAGGGGTAAAAAGGGCAAGGAGAAGAATAAGCAAGGGAGAAAGGAAGGGATGAGAAGCCTTAATGGTGGGAAGCAAGATTTAAAGAAACAAAGTTCATTTAGAGACAATGGGTAAATTTAATTGAAAAAGGGATTCTGTAAGGTACATAAGATTATGTTTTTATATGTGTATTTAGAATAAAATGTTTAAGATATAAATGAGTATTAATATGAATGATTAGTTTTTTAATGGCATTGATAGTGGTCTTATATACTTATAAATATGTTTTTTTTTTGTTGCTGTTTTTTCCCCTATAAAATACATTGTGTAATTTTAGAATGTACTAAACAGAATCCCAATATAAGTTAAGTGTTACATTAAGTATTATTAAGTTAGGGGAAAGAGTTAAAGGCGTCATACTCCAATCAGTGTACAGGAGAAGTTTGTTTAAAGAGAAAAGATGAATGGATAGCTGGAAATAGAACAGACAAAGAATGATAATTATTATGATTTGAACTGAGATGAGATAAATAAAATAAAATTAAGAAAGATAAAAGAGGGAAGAAGCTATATAGAAAATTGAAAATGGTAACAAGATATGGAATGGTATATAAAATGAATATGATTTTTGAATTTCTGTCTGTACGAAGAGTTTTAACCCGGGATCAAGCAACTTTCAGAAAAGATGTTTTATGTTTTTATGTTCTACGTTTTGTTTGTTTTGTTTTGTTTCCCATTTTAATTAGCAAGAAATATAATTTGAATAATAGAATGAAAGGGAGAAATAGAGAGAAGTTGGGATAAGATGTGAAGTTGAACAGATAACGTAAATATATATATTATAATTTGGAATTATTCTGTATGTTCTATTGGTTTTCTCAGAAAAGACCTTTTATAGTTATTATGCCTTGTTTGTTTGTGTATTGTGTTGTAAAAACTAATAAAATTTGTTTTAAAAAAATAAATCTTTCTTTGATAAGCTTCCATCCATTGCTACTTGTTCTGCCTTCAGGTGCTTTGGAGAAAAGATTAACCCCCCCCCTCTTCTTTGTGACTGCCTCTCAAATTTTGGAAGACTGCTATTGTGTCTCCCCTGGTCTTTCTTTTGTTAGAAATACCCAGTTTCTGTAACCAGAGTCCTTTACAGATGTCTTTCTTTGGGATAGATCCCAAATTCTTGCAGTTTGAGAAGCTGCAGAGTTCTGGAGAGAAGATTGGACAATGAAAAACAGAATATTTCACATACCACCCCACCCCACTTGACCCAACTTCTCACTAAGTAAGAACACCCTATACTCTCTGGGAACAATGAATCAAAAGTTCTCTTTCATCATTTTGCCTGACAAAAGCAGTTCTTAAATTTGAACGAGAAAAAAAAAATGCAGGGAAATTCCTCTGTTCTCTTCTGATATCAATTATCTTTCATCGGACATTTGAACATTTCAGATGCTTTTGTGCTTCTTGGATGTAACTCAATCAAGCCTTCTCTTTGTGAATGCTTTCTCTTCTGAGCCACTCTAAAGAAATTC